ACATCATCGGAACATGTAAGCAGTTTTGAGTTTTGAGCTTTTGAGTAGCGCAGGTTTTCCCACCGAGCCGGAGTGGTAAGTTCCGTGATCTGACTGTGAAAGCCAGCTCAGATTTGGTCTTAGTGGCAATGAAACGTCTAGTGAATCTTCAGTTAGGACCTCCAAATACAGATCAACTTTGAACATCAGCAGCGAAATCGGACGACAGATGTGCTTGTGACAATTGGATACTGCAGCACATACAATGAGGACCGCTTTGCGTTTGGAAGCCTTGAATACTGCAGAATAATTTCTTTCATTTGCTACGGTACCTTATCAATGACTCAATGTTGGCTCTCCTATTGTTCACGTTCACTGCAAGAAGTGTGTGAAGTTATCTTGATCGGCAGCCCCACTTCGGCGCCGCAGCGGGCGTGTCGATTGCCGATCGGTGCACTTCGGGGTCTAGTTTTCCAGAAACACTCAACCTTTCTGAGCTCTCGAACCTGATTCCATCAAGAAAATTATTGCATTTCTCTACAATGGCATTGAATTATCAGAAACAGCGGCGTCTTCGATACAAGATTTGCAAAAAGTCGAAGCGTGCCGCGGCCTGCGCCAAACCTTCCCACCTTGTCGAGGACAGTCTCGACGGTGCCAGAAAACCCGTTCTGCCAAACTCGGGAGGCCTGCCCGTCATGGGGCTGCAAATTGCCCAAAACAGGTATGCTAGTTCAGCATCCGCCTAGTGTATTAATTGATCCCTTTTGCTGACAATTTCTTTGATAGGCGCCGTCAGAAGGCCCCCAAGCCAAAGCTCGAGATTAAGGTGATCAATTTCCGAGAACGTGTCAAAATTTTGGAAAACGCGCTGGCTTGGAGCGAGCAGAGGATCGCCCGAGAGGAGCGTCATCGTGGGAGAATCCAGCAGCTGGAGCAGAGCAACCTGTTGCTGCGGGCAGACGCGGGCGAGATGAAGGGGGCCTTTTCGCTGGAGCTTGTTCGACAGCGAGCCATCAATCAACAACTTCAGCAGGACATTGTCAAAATGAGGGAAGACAAAGATCGGTAGCTGGGGGACGAATGGAGTAGGGCATGAAGTATACTACAGACGCCGATGGCAGTTGCTAGTTGGTGTTCAAGTTGGTTGGCTTTCTGGTTCTCATATAGAAAACCCACAGTCCATGTTCATTACTCAAGTTCTTTGGAAACCGGGAATGACCTCGAAATTAAATCTGCTAGGTTCTGGATGACACCCAGTGCGACAAAATATATTGGTGAACGTGTGCGGTGCAGACTGTCTCCGATGACGGTGGTGTCTGTACCTTAATGATTCATGATGTCCCAGTTGGAACTGAAAGAAATGCAAACGCCAAATATCAAACACCCGCTTACCAAGTCATCCCCATCCTCTGCAGAAAATAGAGAACCGATCCCGCGGGCACGTATCCGCCATAATACCATCCCTGCCACCATGCTGCAAAAGAGCCTGCCCATCCATAAACATGCCAGCCTTCGTTCACATGAACAAGGGGGCGTGCACTTCGAAACTCAGGTTTGGGAAGACAGAGCACAAGTCACCTGCGACCGGACCCAGCACCCCAAATTCCAGGACCCTCAAAGGGAAAGCAAAAGATTGACTCCAAAGCACCCAAGCAGCATGGTTGGGATGTCCATTTCGTTGTTTGTGCGAGTCTGGTCGCTTCAGTGATGTCTGGTGATGTGACTCCGCCTTTTAACAGATTGTTATAGCACTTCGTGGGTGCAATCGACGGGTTCGAACTACTTTCAAAGAGACGAGGGTCTTCAATTGCCCTGGGTGGCGAGGACGTGTCGTTCGACACGCTCACAGTGACGTATTACATCGTGCCGGCAGCTGTTCGCCCAAGGCTCTAACGAGTGCACCTCCAGTGACCTATCGCGAGTCATGCGGTTGATTGGAGGTTGACACTGGATTGAGTGACTGAAAGGCAAGCCCGGAGGTCAAGAGAGCCTTGATGAGGCAGGCCAAGAGAGCCTAGATCGAGAGCTTGGTTCAGCATGTTCAAGGCCGAGCTTTTTAGAGGGGAGATGATCGTTAATTAAGTAGGGTCCGCAGGTTGAAGGCCTTGAGTTGAGAGGTTGATAATAATAAGTGGTGCGCGCAGTCCTAAGGGGCACTGGACGATGTACCGTAACTGGAGGATCTTTTGGTCTGTCTGCATGTGTTTAGGTGCAATGATATCAATAAATTACTGCGCAGCGTTTGACGAAGTGTTCTCAAACTGCAAACGCCCAAAATCAATCGCCTCCTACCAAGTCATCCCCATTCTCTGCAAGAACGAAAAGAGCGATCCCGCGGGCACATATCCGCCATACAACCGCTGCCACCAAGCCGCAAAAGAGCCTGCCCGCCACAATCTGTCAGCATTCGTTCAACAGCTGCGCACACGAAGACAGTCACAGAAGACAACTCACCTTCAACCGGACCCAACTCCGCAAACCCCAGAACCTCCAAAAGAACAGGAAACAGTACCGCGCACACCCCGAGCGCAAGCAGGGTCAGGACAACCTCCGCAGCGACCTCGTAGGGGTGTTCCTGCGCATACTCCCACAGCTCATGAAGCTCCTCCTTCAAAAACGCCACTGCGTGGTTGTACGCGTCGGTGATGGCCTCGCCCCACGTGGAGTGGTCGCCGTTGAGCGTGCCTTCGATGGCGCGGAGGAGGTGCTCAGCGAGGTACGAGTTCCAGTCGGTTGCAGAGACGCCCGTGGCGGCGATGACTTGAGGGGTGAGATCGGTGTTGGGGGCTGGCGCTGGAGACCGGACGAGGACGGCCAGGACTTTGTTGGTGAGGCTGGCGAGCTCGTCGTCGGTGGGTGCGTCGCGGGGAGTGGCGGAGGGTGGGCTTTCGAGGGGGGGTTTCTCCGAGATGAGGGTGTAGTTATTGCGGGCTGGCTTGTGGAGCTGGGCATCGTTGCCGCCGCAGAGGCACTCCATCAGCGTGGTTGGGATGTCCATTTTGTTGCAGGTGCGAATCTGATTGCTGCAGCGATGTGTGGTGTTGTGTGGGAGTAGAACGTTGAAATGTGTGTGAATGGCTTCTTGGGTGGAAATCGCAAAAGAAAATCGTCACAAGCCACAAGGGCTCAGTGTTTTCTTTAAGTTGCCAAGTTCTCCAAGTTGAGTCGGTTATTTTGGAAGGCATCATGCAACCAACGCAAATTCCGCCTCAGTCAGGTCCTGATTTGCCTTGATCAGGGCAGACTGGCAAGCAGTTGAGTGCAGCGCACACAGTGCAAGCGCGGTCGCCTGCAGGAAAGCTGCAGGCAAGGGGCAAGGCAAGTGGTCGGCCGCCAGCATTGTACCTATCTGACATTGCTTGCTTTGAATCTGTTGGCGGCAGCAATCCAATGGATGATGGGATTTTGCATAAATTTCTCAAGGTACCACCTACCTTAGCCACAGTTACCATGAAGTTTCTCAACAAGGTACATCACGGGTGTTTGAACAATCCATGAATTTGATGAACAAGTTTGACCCAGACAGTTGAGGTACCAGGTACATGTAACGGATGACTGCATGTCTGCCTGGAGCAACGGCGCTTAATGTTGCATAACATCTTCAAGCCTTGGCCCATCCTCATAGCCTTGGATTTCCCATAAGAACTTCCCAAGGCTCCCATCCAACACATCGCAGTTGGCTCAACGCGGTCCTGAATCTGCGGCCAACACCCGACCCATCCGACGGTCACCAACATGGCCTCCAACCCCAGCCCCTAACCCCCCGGCCAACCAGAGCCGTACAACCCGTACTGTTCCGTCCCAGGCGCCCGCCAGACAAACGAAACCGTGACCCAATTCCTGCAGCACCTGCCACCCGCCGAGGCAGATTTCAACACCCCGCCGCACCTCCTGCCGCCCTGGTACTGGATAGCCAACCCCAAGCGCAGCGCCTACGCCAACGGCCGAGCCGATCCCGGCGACTTCGAGTCGTTCTCCCGCGAGGGCCATGCTCTGCTGCACGAATTCAAGGCCACCATCGAAGGGTGTGCGAGAAACGACCCGATCCGGACTCAGCTGCGCGAGGTCTTGAAAGGAGAGATTGGGGCGTTGACGAGTAAATGGGGCGTTACCGTCGGGAAGGTAGGTTTCTCTTCCTTTAAAACCTGATATGTTTGTGTGTGCGTTGACATATGAGAATTAGTGGATGCTCTTCCCCAAGGTCGGCGAGGTCAACGAGGTCTGGCGCCGTGTCTGTGACGGCGTGGAGACCAACCGGCTTGGGACGGCGGCCAAAGTGTCGACGTCGTGTCAGGTACATGGCGACCCGACACGGCTGATCTGTGTCTACACCAAGGACTTCACGGATGTGGTTGATGTCAAGAGAGTCTTGGACGCGCTGGTGGCGATGGGCCTTGTCACGGCCAACATGCCGAGAGGCATCACGTACAAGTGTGACGCTTACACCTACTTGGATATTTACGGGAAGAATGAATACGGGCTACAGGCGAGCATGTACGGAATCAAGGAGATGTTGACACAAGGTTGAAGGGGACCCCCCAGATATTAGTGCCTCGCATGAGGAAATGAAGCTGGTAACATCAAGGGACGAACCGTGTGGACAACATCTCGAACGCTGCCGTAGTGGAAAGGGGACACAGGTCTTCTTCTGACCGGCCTGAGTCAAGCTAGGTTGTCAAGGAATCGCCAGAGACGAGAAGCACAGGGCGCACTCAAGGCCTTGGAAACAAAAGTGTTGTGCGCAAACCTCTCTGGCAGTCCATGGCGACACCCGCTGTTGTCGGGAAAGCTCCAGACCAAAACCAGTATGCCTGAGCCCATCAGTAGCCATCCACCCGAGACTCATCAGCCGGTATCAACCCGACTGGAGCTAACCAACCATGCCGCGTCAGACGGTCAGACGGCGGAAGCCTGCCTCAACTCATGTAGTAGGTCTTTCTGCTGTATTTGAGGCTGAACGGCGGTCTCAGGAACCAGGGACCCAAAAAGAACATCATCCTCCTGTCATCCAGTTTGACGGGGCCACCCGGGGATTGAACCCGGGACCTCTCGCAGAACACTTCCCAGAAATCCAGGAGTAGTTGAACCCAGGGTGAACCCTAAGCGAGAATCATACCACTAGACCAGCGGCCCTTGTTTGAGTGTGAGCAACGGGTTCGTAATGAGGGAATTATGAGGGTTTCGTTAAGTCATTGTCGGCTGGCTTTGTGGGCCGCAGGTGAGGGCTTGGCCTGGGAGGGTGGAGTTCTGTGGGTTGAGTTCAGGGCAACGGATTGGGCGGAAGTCGTTGGCTTGGATATCAGGGGGGCCGATATCCGACTGCTGTGGGACTCGCTCAGACTCAGATGTGGTCATGGCGACTTGTTGATTCCTGTCTTTCATGTTGAAGTGTTAGCCATTGATCATACGTTTCGGGTGACCTTACCGCAGCAACACTGCACTGCTTCCAAGCATTGTCAACCCGCTTGTTTGAGCGGTAAAAGGCGCTCTCCACTGTGATCCCCTGTCACTGCAAATCGGAGGGCTCGAGACCTCCACCCCAGGGCCCAGGCACGGAAGATGGCTGCAAACTCCGCAAGATACCCCCGGCCATCACCGGATCTCCGAGTCGACAGCGTCAGTGGTTTAGTGGTAAAATCCATCGTTGCCATCGATGGGCCCCGCGTTCGATTCGCGGCTGACGCAGAAGATCTCTTTCTGCCTGCTGGAGCAACCGAGAGTTGATGACTCAGTGTACTGAAGTGCGTGATCGTGGTCAGTCAATCTTGAGACACGTGAGGGCGGAAAGCTTTCGGGCAAGGCGGCTCCGGAGGTCCCACATTGCGACTCAGAGCTGGCGCATTGTTTTATGTCGTTGAAATAATTGAAAGTGGAACTTAAACACGCAACTTGAGTTAGAGTATAAAGTAGGAGACACCGCACTCGAATGCTTGTGACCTGGAGTCGATTGATGAGGGATGTCGAGTTGCTGGGAGCATGGGAATGTAACTACCATTCTCGAGCCACGAGACCCACGCCAGTGGGGATTGGGGACGATGAAGCAAGAGCGGGACCGGAATTTTTATTCTTCCGCAAAGCCCAAGCCTTCAACAACGCAGAAACCGGTGAACGAGTCTGGACGTTGGCTGGAGTGGACGAGATATGAGGGCTCAAAGTTGAGAGATTTAGCGAGAATATCCCTTTGGGTAATGATCACGAACTGAGTAAGCGGCATTGGACACCTATCTTTCTGTTTGCGCTCTAATCCAAGACTACCACACGGCCCACACCGATTCCATTCAACGCCTGCACACTGCCACGCCAATTCACTCAAGGTTGTGCTCAACACTCCGGCAAGTCAGTTCAGATGGCTTTCAACGAACTCTATCAATACTCCCTCATCTCGGCCTTGATGGATGGCGTCGCGTCTCATGGCACCCCGATTGCTCGCGTTCTCGAGCACGGCGACCTCGGTCTCGGCACATTTCGCTGCATGGACGGAGAAATGATTGTGGTGGACGGCGAAGCATACCAGATCAAGGCCGATGGGTCTGCCGTTCATGTCGACCCCGAAACCACTGTCACGCCCTTCGCTGCCGTGACGCGGTTCCGCGCTACCGCGACAAGGAAAGCTGCCGTCTCGGGGATGGCCGGCCTCGAGGAGCTGCTGAACTCGATATTTCCAAAGTCCAGGAACCACTTCCTGGCGGTGCGCATGGATGGGGCTTTCAAGAAGATCAATTCCCGGTCAGTTGCCGGGCAGCTCAAGCCGAGGGAAGGGATGGTGGATGTGTGCTCCCGGCAGACGATCAAGACATTCGAGGCGGTCAAGGGGACAATTGCTGGATTCAGGTGCCCGGCGTACGCGATGGGACTCAATGTTGTCGGCGACCATTTCCATTTCATCACCGAGGACAGGCAGCGGGGAGGCCACATCCTCCTGGCTTCGGGCTTCGAGACGGATGGGGACGTGGAGATTGAAGCCGCGCAACTGTCCAAATTTTACCTGGAGCTGCCGACGGAAGATGACGAGTTCGACAGCGCGACATTGAAGCTCCAGGCCCAGGGCATCAAGAAAGTGATGGAGTGACTGCAGTGGATTAGGTAGATTTGTGTTTCATGATAAATGATAGTCTGTAGGTACCTAATTTCCAGTATCAGTATCATTCCCGGCAGGCTTTCGCGCTCTCGGGGGTTGTGGTGACGACGCGTCATGTCAGACAGCATCCGGTTTCGGCCCGGGTCAACTGCCGGGTCACGGCGTTTGACCGATTTGGGAAGGAAGGTGATTCGTCAGCCTAAACTTCGCACTCTGTCAAAGGAACGAGACCATCATCTGAACAGCCTGGCACAATGGCATGATGCATTTGATGACCACGCGCGGTTCAAGTCACCAAAGCAGAGTTGAGCAGCCAACATTGAATCCACCGCTTGGATGGCACCAAGAACGCGAATCGCGCGAGTCGGAGTCGTCTGGCTAGCAGCGTTTGCGACACTCTCATACGCATCCGCCTCCACCCCCGTCACGGACATCGAAGATGTAGACTTCGGCCCCAGTGAGGCCGCCGCGCGGCATAACGCCTTTGAGATATGCAACGCGATTCACTCGGCCATGCGCCAATGGGGCTTGTCCCTCAACCACAACGGCATGTCCCTCTTCCTCGCCACGATTCCGGCCGGCGTCACCCTCCACCACGGCACCCATAGCCCAACCCCGCCTCCCGGGCCAGAATGGCTGGCCTTGGAGATTGAGCATGCCGAACAGTTTGCACATCCCCGCTGGCGGCGAGGCGACAGGCCCGGACCACCAGGCCCACCTCCCCCCGACTCGGAACCACCACCGCCGCCATCCCCAGTGGCCCAGGACCAACAACCCTTGCACTTTCCTCCTCAACCTCACCAACCTCCCCCCCGATCACCAAACAACAACAACGACAATAACACCAACCCGGACTCAGACCCCCACGGCCACGGCTACCTGCACACCTACCTCACCACGACCCCGCTCCACCTCCTCTACCTCGACGGCACCTCAGCCGGCAACACCGACATGGGCACGCTCGACACCCAGGACCTGCTCCTGCGCCTCAACCGCTCCGCCTCGCTCTGGGACGAGCGGGGCCGCGCGCAGGCGCTCTGCGACACGGTCTCGTCCTGGGGCGGCGGCCTGCACGGCGTGTTGCGGATGGAGGCCGGGTTCGAGGTGATACAGTGCGATTTCTCCAGGGGTTTGGAGCTGGTGGCTGCGAGTCGGCGGCCGGAGGAGTCGGACTGTCTGGCGGGTGGCTGTTACGGTGGTCCTGGTGGGGGTGGTGGTGGGGGTGGTGGTGTGGAGGGAGCGGGGGAGGTGAGGATGTTTGAGTATATCAAGGCTGTCGCGAGGAGGTATCATGATATCGGGGGCGGGAGGGTTGTGGTTGACTGGGGGAGTATGGTGTCGGCGTTTTTTTATGAGGTGGATCTTGGGAATCCGAATGGGACGGTGGGGATGCCGAGGCTGGTGGGGGTGAGTGATGGCGAATTGAGAGCCATTAGGCAAAGGGTCGAGGACGTCGTCAAGGGGAGGAGGGGTGAAGGGAGGAGGGCGGTGAACTGGCAGGGGTTGGTGGACATGGTGGTGGCGCGGTACGCTGACCGGCTGAGGTACATGGCTGGGGTCGATAGCGTTGAGGTGATGCAAGCCGAGGTCAATGGGCTGTTGAACACCCACATCGACTCTGCAGTTGACGACCAGGGGTACAAGGCCGCTTTGAAGCGTTGTAGCGGGTTCTACACATTGGGTGTCACCCCCCAGACACAAGAAGACTCCCTCGTCATGGCTGCGGTCGAAACCGTCACACACAGCATCTGCTCCACGCTGTTCGAGGTGCGCAAAGTGGTCTGGGAAAACCCTGACGCTAATGGGGGCTCGCTGGAGCTGGCAAAGCGGGAGTTGCGGGATCTGATGGACAAGCTGAGGTGGACCAGGTGGAAGGAGTGCGCTGGCTGTGGCTTTGACGAGGTCTGCTTCATCCCAGTGTGGCCGTACGGGGACAAGGCGGCCCACGAGCAGCCAAGCTGCCGGAACACGACGTCCTTGACGAAGGGATGGCGGGACTCGCGGTATTGGCAGTCAGGGCCAGGAATGGGCCCAAAATGAAGTGGGAGTGGCCAGGCTAGGGGTCGTCATACGCAGACCCAACATGGGCTGTCATGAGCATTCCGCTGAAGTGACACCACAAAATCGAATCAGATCAATGGTCCATGACCTGTGTGGTATGAGAGGCCCAAAAGAAGAACGGTTTGGATAAGAGCAAAAACAATGCGTCAGCCGCGAATCGAACGCGGGGCCCATCGATGGCAACGATGGATTTTACCACTAAACCACTGACGCTTTATATTCAACGTGAAGAAAAAAAGAAAGCTTACATTGAGTTACAAAAATTGCCGCTGCTCACGGGGTTTAGGCGGTGTAAGACTTGACTGCTCGAGCACTGTATTGTACCTGTGAGTCTTCCTGCCACAGAACCTTCTGAGACTCTAATTAGGTACTTAAAATCCCTTCCTTAAAAAACCGCCCTCTCTCTCTCTCTCCCGATTCGACACTCCCTGTCAGCATTTGCTAAGCCAAAGGTACTATCCACCCTACCTTACCTACCTAGGTAGGTGTAGAGAAGGTCTTAAGACCTAGGTCAGGCATATGTTAGGGAGGCTACCTTCTTGTTGGACCTGCCATTCGACAGCGTTGACCAAGACTGTAGAGGGCTGGATCCGCGTATCCAACTGAATGCATGTGCCGAAACCAAATGCCGGCGAACGCCTTCTCTGGAAAGGCCTGACACGGGAGTGACGGGACAGGATATTCCGTATGCCCAGCCGTTTCAGCATTGGCAAGGCTACCTCAGGCGGAGGTTCGCCCTGTCGAGGACTTGGCCTGCGCAGTTAGCAAACTGTCAGCTGAATGCCGAATCTACATGCAACTGCCGGCTCCGGCATGTTCCGTGCTGGTAGCCATTCTGTCTGGCGAAGTTGTGCGGAGAAGCAGCAACCAGAATCCAGCGGACGGCGAAGCTCCGCCCTCGACATGGATGTCACCAGGATAATATCATTATTATTCCTACACCGCTATGCCCTGGGGGCGTGCCGGACCTTCAACTATTTACTATACAGGAAAA